CAGGTCTTTTCTTCAATTCAGCTGTTGTTTATATGTGATAGGTTGAGATGACTTTCTCAACCTCTCGCAATTTCTGGCATGTGTCCTGTATGCCACACAGGATATAAAAGTAAATGATGACACTCATTTATTCATTCAACAAAGATTTAGTGAGTGCTTAGTGTGTGCCAGGCTCTGTTCTAGAAACTTGGGGACAGAGTAGTGAGCAAGACAGACAAAGCTCTAGAGTGGGGGAGAAAGACAAAAAACAAGCAACAAAGAAATTGGGTGTTTAGGAAGAAGTGGTGTGCGGTCACCAGCGCATGACATTTTTCTCTTTGTGACGCTACTTGGTAAACTATGCGGTTTAGTTACGGACGGCATCTGCCCCGTGATCAGCTAGCACTAGGTTCTGTCGGGGAGGCGACTGCCCTTCCCTGCCTGTGTATTTGGAGCATGGAGGTTTACCCGGTAATTCTCTCATCAGCTCTTAGATTCGCTTCCTAGGCTGCGTAACAAAGTACCACAAAGTGGGTGGCTTGAAACCACAGCAGTTGATTCTCCCTCAGTTCTGCAGGCCGGAAGTCCAGTTTCAAGGTGTCTGCAGGGCACGCTTCCTCTGCAGGCTCCAGGGGAGGCTCCTTCCTGTCTCCTCCATCGTCCGGTGCTCGGCAGTCCTGGGCTTGTAGATGCGGCACTCTAGCCTCTGCCTGCGGCTTCACGTGGCTGTCTTCCTTCTGTGTGTGTCTAAGTTTGCCTTGTTTTATAAGGGATTAGATTAGGACCCAACCTAATCCAGTATGACTTTATTTTAGCTCCATCATATCAGCAAAGACCCTTTTTCCAAATAAGGGTGAATTCATGGGTCCCAGGAGTTAGGACTGGAACATATCCTTTTGGGGAATGCAGTTCAATGCCCAGTGCCCCTCGAGGTGGGTAGGCTGGTAGCCAAAACCCGTGAGCAGAATAGAGGGAACTGAGGTTTGGCCTGGCGGTAGGGGCGGAGGGAACCGCCCTCTGCATCCACCACTCAATACGATCATGTCAGCTAATCCCACAACTGTTTTTTCTTTTTAATTAAAATTTTTATTTACTTGCTTATTTTTATTAAGATTTTTTTCCCAGACTAGTTTTATTTTTTGATACCTTGACACATGCAAAATAAATAACATTTTCAGGGTTCTAAGCTATAATTTAGCAAATTACCACATCCTCATAACTGAATGATACTGTTAAACTGATTATTTTAAACCTGCATTCCTTTTTTCTTTTTTACAAAATAGAATTTGTCATTTATTCTTGCGTTTATCAAATATTTGAGTACCTAATGAATAGCAGCAGGTGCTTTTTTATTTGGTCCACATTTGGACTAAGATTGAAAATGGTAACTTGTGCATTAATGTATTTGTGCATGTGAGGGTTATGTATACGTGGGGTTAAATGAGAGTACACAAGTGTTGCATAAAATATCTTACAAAGGGCAAGTATCATGATATATACAAGGTATATACATTTATTTGAAAACACCCCTAGATTACTTGCAATCTCTGGGAACCTCCATTTTTTTAAACAATTTTATTGAGCTATAATTCACATACCACCCAATTCACCCATTTAATGTGTACACTTCAATGGTTTTTAGTATACTCACAGAGTTGTGCAACCTTTACGGCCGCCAATTTTAGAACATTTTCATTGCTTCCCACAAAAACTCCACACCCATTAGCATCCTGGTTATGTTTTAGGATCCTCAGTGGTCAGTCCATTGGGACTGGCTGGCAGAGATTTAACTGGCTGTGACATTAGGCAAGTCCCTAAACTTCCCCCTCCTCCCTTTCTCCACCTGTCATTTCAGATGAAACCGGCCAACTAGGTAACACTACGTGTCTGTGGGCACTTTATGTGGGTGTGAAGTGCTTGAGCTCATTTAAGTCTCAGGACAGCTCCTGAGCTGGCTACTATTTTTGTCCCCACATTACAGATGGGGAAACTGATATTCAGAGAAGCCACGAGGCCTGAGGCACTGAAGTTTTAACGTTGTGTTGGCAGGGGCAGCTGAGCTTGGCCTTCAGTGCTCACTTGCGTGACTCTGGGGCTGTGACTTTAGTGCTCTTGATCCCACCTCCTGCCTGCCCAGCAGACCTCCTTACACAAGGAGCTTTGCAGACATGACCTTGAGCAAGGTTAGGGAGGAGAAGTGAGTGGAGGTGGGAGCCTGGCTTGAGAGGGCGAGGGGTTGGGGCTCTGACAGCAGGTTCTCTGCCAGGTGGGCCTCCCAGAAAGCCTGAGCGGAGCCCACCTGTTCCCGGCGCCCTTTGGTGAGGAAGGAGCCAGCACTGCCAAGATCAAGGCCAGAAAGAATACCCAGCAAAAGTCAGGGATGCCCCCTGGTGGATCTGCACTCCCGACGCAAAAACAAAGCGGTTCTCCCCTGGATCTGCTTCCCGGCATCCGTGGGGTGGGAGCCAGCCATGGAAGTCTGGGCTCACTTTTCGACCTCAGCATGTGATCAAGATTCAGTCTTCAGGGGATGACGTAAGAACCTGGGCTCTGGCACTGGACTGAACTGGCTTCAAATCCCAGCTCTGCCACTCGCTGCCTGGGGATCCCCGGCACGTTTGTTGTCCGAGGCTCAGTGTCTCCTCTGTCAAATGGGTATAACTGAAGTTCTTCCTGGCTGTGACCATGATGAACTTAAAATGAGATAACCTGTGCTGAGAGCTCGCCTGTGCTGACGTGCTCAGTAAATGGTAATGATCATCACTGACAGGAAGAGTGTGTTCTGGGGGACATGAGCCAGTCACTTTATCTCTGGGCCTTGGTCTCCTCATTTGTAAAACAGCCTTACCTCGCTTTTCCGGGGTTGTTGTGAAAATTAGATCTTCAACCCAAAAGATAGTAACACCCAAGTTCTCCTACATACTTAAGGAGTTACTTTTATTATTCAGTTCCTATGTTGGGGAAGGCGCTGTGTTTATTTATTCAACAAATATTGACCGTGGGCCTATTAGAGGACAGGTTCTGTGAACGGGATGAGAACATTACCCATGTCAGCATCTAAGTTCCATGAGAGTTTTGTCTAGTTCAAGGGCCGGCAAGCTTTCTCTGTAAAGAGCCAGAGAGTAAATATTTCAGGCTTTGTGGCCCATTTGGTCTCTGTCGCAACTGCTGAGCTCTGCCGTGGTAGCACGTTGTAGCATGGAGCCAGCCCTGGGCAATATGTAACCCAGTGGGCTTGGCCAGGCACCAAGAAAACTTTATATACAGACCTGGGAATTTGAGTTTCATATAGTTTTCCCATCATGAGATATTCTTCTTCTTTTAATGTTCCCCCATTAAAAAAATGTAAAAACCATTGTTAGCTTGCAGCCCAGATAAAAACAGGCAGTGGGCTAGGTTTGGTCTTTGGGCTGTCATTTGCTGACCCCTGCTTGGTTTACCCATAACCTTTTGAGGTAGCTGTGAACAAGGTAGTCACTGGCTTCTTTTTTGTTTGTTTATATATATTTTTCAATACCCATGGGCCATCTATGTGCCACTGTTAGCTTGCAGCCCAGATAAAAACAGGCAGTGGGCTAGGTTTGGTCTTTGGGCTGTCATTTGCTGACCCCTGCTTGGTTTACCCATAACCTTTCGAGGTAGCTGTGAACAAGGTTAGTCACTGGCTTCTTTTTTGTTTGTTTATATATATTTTTTAATACCCATGGGCCATCTATGTGCCACTGAGCTGATGGGTAGTTGAGGTCTTTCTGTCTCAGGTGGTGGCTTCCCTGGCAGTTCTGATGCGTATTTTGAGTCCTAACACACAGGAGGCGTCAGCTTTGATAACACGTCGCCATGCATGCGGCATATGCTCTGTGTGCTTTTTTCCCTATCAGAGCACTTTGCTTAGCTTTAGTCGTGCCTTCCAGCTTGGCTGAAGTTCTGGAGACACTACTGTTCCCATCTTACAGATGAGGAAACAGTTCCAGAAAGGGTCGTGATTTCCTCGACGGTTTGTTGACGAGTGGGGGCTCTAGGGCTGGCACGGAAGGTTCCTGTCTCCTCGTCCAGGGTTCATTCCCTTCTCTCCAGTCAGCTGTGAGAGGCAGACTTCTCTGCTGACATGAAAGGCTGGATTTGCCTGATTTGGGGGGGCTGGGGGCACGCAATCTTACTCTCTCCTGTTCACCTGTCATTCATATGTGAGGTCTTATGTCACGTGCTGACAGGACATCCAACATTCATTATTAATTCTGCAAATATTTACTGAGCTACTAAGTGTGTGCCAAGCCTGATTCTAGATACCTGGTGTAGAGTTGGTGAGCGAGACAGAAGACTCCTGCCCTCACAGTGCTTACAGAATAGCAGGGAAGAAAGCCGAGAACGTAGACGAAGAAGGGCAGTATTTAGGAATTGTGATTAGCACTAGGGAGTAATAGGGCACCCAGTCGTTTATGTGCCAGACACTGTGCCAAGTCATCATGTGATTTAGTCCCCACAACTGGCCTATCAGAAGAGTTGGCAAGATGAACACAGGGAGGTTCAGAGACACCAAGTCACTTTGCTGGTGTCACCGTTGAGGCAGGGAGACTGCCAAACAGCTAATTTTCTGCAGAGATCAGTACTCTCCTAGTGCTATGAATAAACAGAAAGGCTTTGAGTGTTGTGCAAAGGCAACGGGGAGTCATTGAAGGTTATAAGCAGAGAGAGGAGTGTCCATGGTCAGCCCTCTGATTTAGAACACCACCCTGGCCACAGTGTGCAGGGCGAGGAAGAGGAGGTAGTCCCAAGACCCCTTTAGGAAGCTCTCAGGCCATCTTAGACTAGAAGGGAATCCGTGGTGGTGGAGGGAAGCAGGCAGGTTGGAGACGGATCCAACAAGGAAAGCCGACGTGAGGAGGTAGCTGAGCAGATGTGGAATAGGGATATGGGGTAGGGGAACCCTGGAGGAAGAGCAGGTTTTGTTTTGTGAGGGGCTCCCACGCAGGATCTGGAGCCCTAAGCTGACAGGAGCCACTGGCGTGTGGTTCTGCCCCCAGGGAGCCGGCGGCTGGTGGACGTGATGGACGTGAACACCCAGAAGGGCACGGAGATGAGCATGTCCCAGTTCGTGCGTTACTACGAGACGCCCGAGGCTCAGCGGGACAAGCTGTACAACGTCATTAGCCTCGAGTTCAGCCACACCAAGCTGGAGCACTTGGTCAAACGTCCGACTGTGGTAGGCCTGGGCTGCGGTCCCCTTCCCTGGCCCCTTCCACCTCATCTTTCCTGCCTTCCCTGCCTTCACACCTATGCTTGCGAAGGGCGTGGCTGTCGCAGGGTGGCCCGTGGCTTTCACGTGAGAGGGCGCGGCTGGGGTGGGCGTGGCCAAGGCTGATGCCCTGGGTTGGGGGACATTGGGCACAGGGTTTTGGCCGCAGCACAGGCGGAGGCAGGAGGCAGGAGGAAGGGGTGGGCTTGGAGAGGGACCTCAGCTGAAGGGTGTAGACCCAGAGGCTCCCCAGGGCAAAGGGGGGTGTTTGCTTCTGGCCTGGCGGTGGAGAATGAAGGCCTGACGGTGGTGTGGCTTTCAGGTAGACCTGGTGGACTGGGTGGACAACATGTGGCCCCAGCATCTGAAGGAAAAGCAGACGGAAGCCACGAATGCCATTGCAGAGATGAAGTACCCGAAAGTGAAGAAGTAAGACTGCTTGGCTGGCAGGGGGAAGCTGGGAGGGGTGACCTCAGGCTTGGGGAGGCAGGAAGGGGGGCTCCTGGCCATCGACAGAGGTTTGAGCGTCCCTTTGCAGCTGCTCCCCTTCAGAACGGAAGGACTTTGCCCTGCGGGGACACAGCTGGGACATGAGGGATGGGGGCCCTTGGCATGGGCAGGTTGGCATCTTGCTTCTTTGGGAAGCAGGGGCTCTGGCTTCTGCTCTGGGGCTGGACTCTCCACCCGGATGGCCCTGTGGCCTCCCCGCCAGCTCCCCTGTGGCGATGGGATCTGCGCAGGAGTGACGGGAGACGTCGCTGTGTGCCTGTGTCTGTGTGTAGACACGCAATTGTGCATGCTTGTCAAATGTGGCTCCTCCTCCCTGCATGTGACGGTGTGTTCTGAAAGTGGGCATTTCAGGGGCATCTGCCCACATTGGACACTCTGGTTTTGGCCAGTGATGGGGAAGGGTCTGGTGTTCCTTTGTTCCTTGGTGTTGAGACCTGGGAGCTCTGACCCAGATGAGCCTTTCCCAGACAAAGCCCAGGTGCCACTTAGTCACCAGAGGTACCTTAGACGGTGCCTTCTAAGCGGGATGTTGGCACTGGACTGGGACGGTAACCGTGGTCTAATAGAAGAGATGTCAAAACATGCAGTAGCGTGACCAGGAAGGCCTAAGACTGATAGTTTAGCCCTAGCAGAGGCACCTGCGAGCCCCTCCACGTTCAAGGACTTGAGTAACAGACGACTGGGGAGGAGGGAGTCACCTTTGGGGCTCCCGGTGGCTCAGGCCTCTGTGTTTCCGTCTCTAAACGGGGAAGGAGACACTGGCCATCCCAGGCAGGGCTACGGCTCTGGGCTTCCTAGAAGAGCTGGCGTGCTGGCTGGCGGCCTGAATCCATTAGCGTCTCTCCGCTCAGCCCTGCTGCCAGGAATGCCCCCAGGAGCTTCAAGGCTGTGAACTTTTCATCCACTCAGCCCTTCATTCAGTGCACAGTGAGTGCAGACTGCGTGCCAGGCTTTGTAAGGGAAGCCAGCGTGCTGGCCCTTGGGCTGCTCGAGGTTTTGCTCTCAAGCGCTCGCTCTTTCTTTAATTACTTGGTAGGCATTTTTCCTCCCCTCCAAGCTGAAGCTCCTTACACGCCTTGGATCCGGGCTGCATCAAAGGCAAAGACTGGCTCGAGGAGGGGAGGGAGCAAGGCTTGTTTTCAATTCTATTCCGTTCTCATCTGATGGCAGCAAAATTTACAGAGCCCTGGGGATGGGGAAGTAAAACAATGAACAAACCTAAAAGCCCCTACTCTGCGGAGAATGTGTTGTGTAGCACAAGGGCCGAGGTTTGCTTCTAGTGCTAGGAGGGTGACAGGGACAGGACAAATCCTATTTGGCTGGCATCATCAGGAAGGCTTCCTGGAGGAGATGTTCTGCCTGGGTTTTAAAATGACAGAGGAGATGGGAGAGAAGTGCAAAGGGTATTGAAGGAGTCGTGAGCTCCAAGAAAGGCTGTGGGACTCAAAGATTAGCTAGAGGCAGGTGGTGGCTCATTGATTCATTCATTCATTTAGCAGCTATGTCTTGAGCATCTGATGGGTGCTGCGTACCCGGGGTACAGGGGGAGAAAACCAGGTGAGGTTCCTGCCCTTGTGGAGCTTACAGCCTGTGGGGAGACAGACGTAACTCCAGTGATCACAGAAACAGGTGGAGACCCACGGCTGCGGAGGCCGGCGGTGCTGAGGAGCTGCGACCAGGGGAGGGGATTCACCTGGGCAGGGAGGTCCGGGAAGGTGTCCGAGCTGGGTTCTGAGGAGTCAGGGGGGTTGCCTAGGCGCAGAGGACTGGGGAGAGCTTTCCTGGGATGGCAGGGAGGGGCAGGGTGACCTGCAGATGTAAGGCCAGTAGGGCTGAAGAGGGCGCAAGCGAGGGTCTGCACTTGGCCTAAGAATAGCCACAGCCCTCTTGGAGATTTTAAGTGGAGAGGGCTGTGAGCAGGGTGCATCCCGCAAGTGCTCCCGCTGCTGTGTGGATGGAAGGGCTTGGGCCAAGTGGATATGAGGGGACCTGGTCTAGAAGAGGGGATGACAGGGCAGGGAGAGGAGAGGAGGGACGGTCCAATTAGTTGTGTATTCAGGAAGGTAAAATAGATAGCCCTGGGTGACATGGCTTTGACTTATGTAATTAATGCCTACCTTGCCTCCCTGAGATAGTCACTATATTCTTCACTTTATTGAAAGATACCTTTAAATAGTAAGCTCTGTTAATATATTAATATTCAGGGTCCTATCTGATCACCAAAAGGCTCACACACTCCTAGTTTCCTAAGACCCCATGTCTTTGATACATTGGTTGGATTGTGTGGTGGAGCGATTTACAGACCCCATCAGTGGCCGTGGGAATTTGTTACAGGATTCGAGCCTTGTTAGGAAGGAAATTGTCACCTTGGAAATAGTCCATTTGTTTGGCTGAAAAGAATGCTGATATCAGGTAATAAGCAAAGTAAAAATCCCACCATGATGAAGTCCTCTGGGACTGCAGAATGGTTCTGTGGAATTTAATTAAAATGACACTGTTTCTAAAAATCACAGAGCTTCCATGCTGGAGGCCCTCGGGAGTGGAGACAGCTGACAGCCCACCTGAACTGCGGTAGGGAAGAGGGAAGTGATACAGCCACACTACTGCTTTCTCCCTGCCTCCAGGATTGATGCTGTTCAGGTTTTTTTTCTTGAGACAGAGTCTCACTCTGTTGCCCTGGCTAGAGTGAGTGCCGTGGCGTTAGCCTAGCTCACAGCAACCTCAAACTCCTGGGCTCAAGCAATCCTCCTGCCTCAGCCTCCCGAGTAGCTGGGACTACAGGCATGCGCCACCATGCCCGGCTAATTTTTTCTATATATTTTTAGTTGTCCAATTAATTTCTTTCTATTTTTAGTAGAGATGGGGTCTTGCTCTTGCTCAGGCTGGTATCAAACTCCTGAGCTCAAACAATCCGCCCGCCTCGGCCTCCCAGAGTGCTAGGATTACAGGCGTGAGCCACCGTGCCCGGCTGATGCTGTTCAGTTTTGATGAGTTTAGGAACTTTACTGGTTTTCGGTTGAGATACTTAAGGCCATGGACGGTGGCAGGAGTGGAGGGAGTTCATGCCAGACAAAAGATTTGTAAAGAGTATGTTAACCTAGTAGTTATCTTATGTGCAAGAACTATTCTAGATGGAGTAGGAGTGGGTGGACTTCAGTGAATACAGCAAAGTCCCCATTCTCCTGGAGCCTATGTTGTGGGGAGAAGAAAACGGGCAAGCAAAAAAGGGAATAATATAATTTAGGAGGTGATAAGTGTTGCAAAAAAACATAATGCAGGATAAAGGGGGTTGGGTTGACTGACTATTGACCAAATGATACATCTTTGTTGGATATGTGGAACTATTTGTTTCAGAAAATTTCTTGTAACTATACAGTGACTCCAATGATTTGGAGTACTCCTGCATTAGTTGTTTATTGCTGCATAACAATTACCCTAAAATTTCACAGCTTAAAAAATTTTTTAGCAGCTTAAAACAACAAATATTATTTCACAGTTTTTGTAGGTCAGGAATCCGGGAGCGTCTCAGCTGAGTGGTTATAGGTCAGAGTCTCTTATGAGCTTTTGTCAAAACAGGCCTGGGCTGTCGTCATCTGAATGCTCAACTGGGGCAGGAGGATCTGCTTCCAAGATGGCGCCCCTACTTGGCTGTTGGCAGGAGGCCTCAGTTCCTCACCACATTGGACCTCTCTGTAGGGCAGCTTGAGTGGGTCATGACATGGCAGTGGGTTCCCCAGCGTGAGTGGTTCGAGAAAGACCAAGGAGGAAGCCCCAGTACCTTTTACGATCTAATTTTGAAAGTCACACACTACTTCTGCCATAGTCTGTTAATTAAAAGTGAATCACTAAGTCCAGCCCATACTGAGGAGGAGGGGAATTTAGCTCTACTTCTTGAAGGGAGGACTATCAAAGAATTTGTGGACATGTTTAAAAGCCTCCACGATTCCCTAGGTCTATGACATGGGCTTACCTTTTTTGCTCAGGACCACTGGGTGTTGTAATACTTTTCCAGAAAGAGATTAGCAAGTCTGCTCCCCTTCTCATCTGATCCTGTAACACATAGGGTTTGCAGAATGAGGTTTGCTGGTGTAATGATCTGCTGTGGTCTGACAAACAGTGAAGGAGCTCAAAAGCTTCTTTTGGCCTTTACTAGCACTGGAGACAGGTGCTAATATCCCCATTTTACAGACGAGGAAACTGAAGGTCATAGTGGTTCAATGTAGGTAATGGGCGAGTATAAGGTAGTAGGGGCTGGTGGGGCTGTGGTTAACTGGAGAGGCAGGCCTTTAGAAATTCCTCTAAAATTAAAAAAGTGCAGGCTAAACCAAGCACATCTGGGGCCTGGTTTGATTCATGAGGCCACCAGTTAGAGTCCCCTGACTAGTGGGATGCCGAGTTCCAGAAAAGAAGACCAGTCCAATGTCACAAAGCTGAGTAGAATAATTACTGGGTTGTTGCTGGGTGCTGCACTTACCCAGATGAATCGGCTATAGTCCCTGCTATCGAGGAGGTGAGGCTTTTGTTACTAAAAAAAACCAAATTCTCTTGTGGATATCGTGGTCCAGCTGTCCAGGCTGTCTTCTCTGCTCCTAGCTCATTTAACCCTCCTATGTCTTTTTTTTTTTTTCTGTCAACTGGGCTAGAGCACAGTGGCATCATCATAGCTCACTGCAACCTCCAACTCTTGGGCTCAAGTGATCCTCCTGCCTCAGCCTCCCAAGTAGCTGGGACTAAAGGCGCACACCACCACACCTGGCTAATTTTTCTGTTGTTGTAGGGATGGGGTCTTGTTCTTGCTCAGGCTGGTCTCTAATTCCTGGCCTCATGTGATCCTTCTGGCCTCGGCCTCCTGGAATGCTAGGATTACAGGGGTGAGCCACTGCGCATGGCCCCTACATCCATTTTTTTAAGTGTTACAA